TGGTATCAAAGACACCCTCTGTGCCCTAAATCTGCCGCCGTCCCTCCTTATTCAGTCCCTTATCGTTGTCTCTAGTTGAATCCTCACACCGTTGCTCATTTCTCCTGCTCTCATATTTTTTTTAGTCTCAATCATGGCTGAAACAGATCAGTCCTCTTTAACCAGTATCACTTCTCCATCTGGTTCATCTCCTGCAATCACTTCGGCTATACGTGAGAGCAATCTGATTCCTGTTACCAATCATAAACTGAATGGTCACAATTATTTGCAATGGTCTCAATCCGTAATGATGTTCATCAGTGGCAAGGGTCGTGATGATTATCTCACCGGAGCAGTAGCTCCACCTGACAAGTCCGATACCAGCTACAAACTCTGGCGCTCTGAAAACAACATGGTTATGTCCTGGCTAATAAGTTCTATGACCACAGAGATTGGTGGAAATTTCCTTCTTTATTCCACGGCTCGAGATATCTGGGAGGCCGCTCGAGAGACATATTCCAGCAGTGAGAACACCCTGAATTATTTCAGGTGGAAACTGCACTTCAGGACCTTAATCAAGGGGATACAACTGTCACCTCATACTTCACCAACCTAACTCGAAACTAGCAGCAACTTGACTTGTTTGAAACCCATGACTGGAAATGTCCTGATGATGGTGCCAAATTCAGGCAAATAGTGGAGACCAAAAGGGTTTTCAAATTCCTCATGGGACTTAACAAATCCCTCGATGAAGTTCGGGGTCGAATCCTTGCCACCAAGCCTTTCCCTAGCCTTCGAGAGGCATTTTCTGAGGTTCGTAGGGAAGAAAGTCAAAGAAAAGTAATGCTGGGACAATCAGGGGCATTATCAACTCCAGAAGGTTCAGCCCTTGTGGCTCACGGTTTGCTGCCATCACAGGAAGATGCCTCAATCCAGGCTCATGTTGCCCGTGGTCCTCTTCAACATTTGAATGACAACAAGCCTCGTAGAGGGAGACCTTGGTGTGATCACTGTCGAAAACCAGGTCACACCAAGGACACCTGCTGAAAAATCCATGGAAAACCAGTGGACTGGAAGCCTAACTGTGGGTCTGCTGAGCATGAAAACCGTGGGAATGCAGCCTCAACAGAATTCACTGCTGCATCCTCTCAAGCTCCATTTACCAAGGACTGAATTGAGGTCCTTCAGAGGCTAATTAGTCAAGCAAACACTCAGCCAAC